ACAAGAGGGCAGATAGAGAGTCAGGGCCTCTGTCATCTGAAAAAGGGTGCCAGATGGCTCTGTGTGAGGTGGTCAACGAGGATGAGGCGGGTGAAGCCCCCCCTCAGTGAGCTTACGTGAGATCACCCATGCGCACACACATTTACCCTCTCGCACAAGACGAGTCATTAGCACAGAGGAAGGAGTGGGGAGAGTGGAGAGTGTGAGAGAGAGAGGCACAGCTGCATTTTCAGGAAATGCTGAGTGCTTAGATTCTGGTCTAAATAGGGTTTTTAATTTCTAGGAGCTTTCCTTCAAGACGAGGACAGCTTGTCTTCAAAAACCCACCGCTGAAGGTGGACAGACAGTTTGAAAAGTGGGATTATTGAGGGTCTTGGATATAACCATGGTATGTCTTTACTCTTTATAACACTGCATATACCCAGTGTTTGGCAGAAGCAGTGTTTTCATCCACCATCTAAATTCTAAGTAGGCTACCATTTGGTTGGTAGGACCGCACCCTTTTTTGAAAATATCTTGTGTTTTTTGAGCCAGACGAGAGCAGGGCGATCTTTGCTACACCTCTCATGGTTAAGAGGCCAGTATGGCAGTGACTTGCAGTATTTCACAGGTAGTCCAGCTTCCACATATTCCTGGGCTTTATGGTCTGCTTTGCTTTGCAGGACCCTTGTTTTCAACGTCATGCTGTATTGCACAAGACTTGAAAGTAGAGATTCGGTACATCCAGTCATCAAGGAATTTTTTTACTGAGGGAATGAATCAAGTGAGACGTAAGCTCTTTTTATACAATCAAAACCCTGCTTAGAAGCAGTTGATTCGCCCCCTGCTGGCCAGTGAAAAGAGTTCAGGTTTCCATATGGCTTCATTTTTCAATCCATCCATCCATCCATCCATCCACTTGACCCAGACATGCCTCACCTCAGAAATTACTTTCTCTTTCTCCTGAGGCTTTCAGGCCTGGTCCAGATATATAATCCCTCCAGAGAGCTCTTTGTTTACTCTTGAGTCTCCTTCAAGTCAGTTGGGCTGGAAAACCTCCAGAGGAAGACACCCAGGAGGCATCTTTTCTTTCTTTTCAAAAGGTTTATTTTGGGCTTTTAATGGCTTTATTAAGAGACGGATCAGTGGAAAGAGTCAGAAATAGGGGAAAGACTGGGAAGTGACATGCAGGACATAAGCCACAGGTCGGTTTTGAACCCAAGCCACCTGCCCGGACCACTACAGCCTGCGTACATTGGACGCACGCACTAAACACTTGGTTAAGCTCCCCAGCTTGCCTTTATTTCAATGTGAAGGAGAAGTACCCTTCAAGGTCCCTTCCAAACATGTAAACTGTTTACTAAAACTTCAAGGCTGAGCCTGTCCGTTCGTTGGAGGAAACTCATTTTGTCTGCATGTACAGTATCTGCGGTCTCATGCTTTCATATTCTTTCTTTGAGTGGTTCCTAAATGAGGTAACACAACCAACATCAACCCAAAAACACACATAAAACATCACAAAGCAGTGGAGTCAGCAACCTGCCAGCGAGCATCTTATCAAGAGCAGATAACTAGCTGGATAAAGATGGCAGGAAATGAATAAAATATAGCGAGAACAAGTAGAGTGGACACAAAAACACAAACTTAACAAAATATATTGTCTCTTATTTAGAATATTTCTCATGTTCAATACAGAAAAGCTTCATTTATTGACCTAGGTTCACAAGTCCCCTGTCAAACACTGTACATGCCTCCCTCCCTCACTACATTTAGAACCCACCATGGGAACCCACAACCATGGTAACCTGAACAGGGAGTTGAATTTGACACATGTGTAAGTGTATGGACAGATTGAAGGTCATAAATATTTTACTCGCCATCTCAGAGAACACACTCGCAGTGTCACGAACAAGCTGTGAGTGTTCACAACACACCGAGTCCACATTATTCAAACGTGTGTTTCAAGTGCTGCTCTGACTTTCAGCTCAAACTGAAAAATAAATCCAAACAGTGGGAGTCGAGGCTGCTCTCAGTGACTCAGACTTCAGGTAATGATGAGCAGCCGCTGTTTCCACAGGCACCACCAGTCTACATTACAGTGATAACCAGTGAGAAAATGGAAACTTGTGGAAGGCCTGTGGATAAATAGATTTCTCTGACAGAAACCAGAGGTGGAGAGAGCAGACTAAAAATAACCTGAACAAGTTGAAGAACTCTTCTGGAGTTTAACCCACTCCTTTTTCTTTATAAACCTGAGGACATAAGGTTAACAAGGTATTAAAAATAAGAGTACAGCTTGGCATGTGACTATTGAGAAATGTTTTTTCTGCTCAGGATTTTTTTTTAAAGCACATTTAAAGAGAAATCATCTTTAAAAAAACTGTTTAGCGGTTTATTAAAAGTGATCTAGCTTGATGCAAAGACATTTAATCTTTTCTCTCCTGCTTATACAATGCAAATATATTATGGTCAAATAACATTTAATTTAAAACCATGGCAGTTTTTCTTTCCTCATTCTTTCCATTTGGCTTAACAGTTCTCCTTGCACAAAATGAGATCCCCCCAAACAATGTATTCTGCCTCCACTGGTATGGTTTAGATGCTCCAGAATACTCTTGGACAGTCACAAGCTGTTTCTTTTATTCATGTGAGAGAATGCTGTGAACATTTTACAAAACAAAATTACAAAAGTTAAAGGCAGGGATGGTAATTTTCTAAAACTAGCATGATTTTGAAAGTAGCATTCCCTCAGTGCTTCGTCTGCACCCCTCCCCCTCTGTGCTCCCTCTAAAGCCACGCCCCCTCACTTACATGCACAAGCGCTGTTGCTCCAGAAGCGGACCTCAGCTCATGTTTTGAGTGTGGGCTCGTGCATGCATGGGGTAGAGAGGGAGGCGTCTGATTGGTTCATCAGATTGATACCTCGTGGCAGACATTGGTCAAAGTTTTTACAGACTTACAACTGCTACAGATGACGGGTTTTCTCCGTTCCTTTTTTATGAGTTATTCATTTCTGTCAGGACCTAAAGACAATTTCAACCAAAATCTTAAAAAGTGGATCTGGAGGAAATTAACAACCCTGCCTTGAAACACTTTTTACATTTTGGAAAATTAAAATTTACAAGATGCAAAAAAAAATTCCAAGCGCTGAGACAAGTTTATCCTTCTACCAGTCCCTGAGACAAAAAGACAGAATCTTGCTGGAAAGGGATTCCGAAAGTGACCTGGAAGTGCATGAGCGGTCAATGAGTTTGTCTTGGCAGAAAATCTGTGCCAAATGAGATTATGGTGACGGAAGGACTGGAAGGTGCCCATGGTCCTATCGTATCGTCCATGTTGTTCAAAAATTCCTGAGACTGTCAACACAAAAAGCAAAACTACGTTATCTGGATCAAAACATCATACAGTCACCATGGAATATATCATGATTTCTTCCATGAGAGTCGTTGATTTATTTCTGCTGAGGCTTTTTGTTTCCTCTGTGAGAAAACTGCTACAGCTTCATCAGGCTTGATTCTCTTCCTTTGTACACCATGTGGGGGAGAACTGCTTTTGCATGGCGTCTAGATCAGCTGTGAGCTTTTCACATGCTATTATTAAAGAAGGACAACAACAACTTACTGTTTCATTTGTGGAAGAGACAGATTTCTACTTATTTCAAAAAGCATTCAGTCCTGCTGACTTACTGTGATGTATGTCAGTGTCTTAGTCCAGATTTAAAATGTATTATCCGGACAGATTAGTCAAAAAAATCAAGCCGTACAGCTGCAGCAAACTGGGATAGCTTCAGCTTTCTAAGGGTCTGAGTGAGAACCGCTCAGCCTTTTGTGTCAGATAAATTACGTCTCATCGCAGAGTGACTGCACATTTGTTCTCAGTGAAATGAAAGTCCGATATCTGCCGTCCCTCTCCGCTTCTTCAGCGTATCACTCTCTGGAGTGAAGGCCGTTCAGAATTCAGGCGGGGCTGTAAATCTCACTGAAGCTGTCCCTATTATGCCCTTTCATTGTGAAACTATTTAAGGCTCTTTATGCTAAGAGAAATGGTTAATACAGACACCCCAGGATGTGTTAAAATCAAACTATTTACTTATTTAAACTAATAGCATTTGCCATCAATGCATTGTAGTGACAAGTGCAAAAACTTTGAAATAATTGTTTTTCAGTTTCTGTAAATGTTCCTGATAATGGGATATGCAGTCACAAAAATACAGTCAGGCAGGCTGATGCAACAAACTAAAGTATATTTAATGACAACCTTACAAAGTCCAGGAGGGGCAGGCAGGCAGGCAAACGGCAAGATCCAGGCACAAAAACATTGCAAACAGAAGAGGGACCAAGTGCCAACTCAGGGTTGGGCCCACATACAAGCGGGAAACCCACAAAGGCAGGAAGTGAAAGGGAATGGCGCCCAAGAGCTTACAAAATAAAACAGGAAACAGGAAATAGAAATACTAAACTCTATGGCAGTAAAAATACAAGGACATGGAGTGTATAACTACAATGGTAGTAAATGACCAAAGAATGGAAAATAGAATCTGAATAATGAAATAAAATCCTAAACTAAAAAACAACTCATGACAGTCTTTCTGGTTTACACCTCCCTCACTACCTCCAATGGCGGATCAAGGGTGAAACAACTTTCTTGTGTTACACATCACAGACGAGACATACCACCTTCAAGGGGCAATATGTAAGTGCCAATTGTCTCTAGATGTTTACACTGGGATTGACTGGTGACCTGTCCAGGAGTACCCTACCTCTCCCACAGTGCCCATCCCTTTATGACCACGAACACAGTCAAAGAAAATGGATGGATGGTTTTTAATTGGGCTTTGATTTTGTTTCATTTTGCTAAACCCAATCGTACCAATTGTCACACAACAGCTTTTCCTCTTTGTGCACAAACTGTTAGCATTGTCCATCAGCCAATCACTGATGAGTAAAACCTTTGTTGTCTGTTTTTGGTTGTGAGAATTCATTTGGGGCCGTGTGATGGAGACAAATGGAACAACAACAACAAATAGTGAAGAAGATTTATAGTTACAATGTCAGAAATGACGGAAGGAACAACAACGCATGAGACTGATCAGTCTTATATTAACATCAGAAACTATAATGATAATGAAATGGAGGGGTTCTGAAATTGGTAATCATAGCAGCATCTCTTAGATTTACTTTAGTATTTGTAAAAGCAATACTGGAAGTGTGGCTGATGTTTTGTAGAAGTTGGATACAGGAGGGTCCACAGCGGCCGGATGTCCACACCAACGATCCAGAGGAACCTATGAGGCAAGAGAGCTCAGGAGCTCCACAGAAGCTATGTGGTTAGCAACTTCAATGAAATTTTATAAATAGTTATGCAGTAATATGATGTGAATGCATACAGACAGAGGGACAGACAGGAGCCCAGTGTGTCACGTCCTCCAGCAGTCTAAGCCTATAGCAGAATAACTAGTAGCTAGTCCAAGCCTGAGCCAGTTTATAAGCTTTATCAGAAAGGAATGTTTTATAAGCAGAGAGGAGATCTGCCTCCTGGACCCTGACTGGTATCTGACTCCAAAGCAGAGGGATCTTATAACTGAAGGCTCTACCTCCCAAATTGTAAGCTGTAAAATGTCCTCTGCTTCCTTCTTAGAATCCAAATCTTGCTACTCAAACATTTAAAGCTGAATTATGTGAACTCTCTAATTTGCTTGCTGTGCAGATGAGCTAGACAGATGTTAATAAAATGTGATTTAGCAGTCTACAGAAATGGTCAAAGCACCAAAAATGGCCATTTTGATCTTAGCTGTAAATGCACAATGAGACTCAAAAATCATTCAAACATTTGATGTATTTCAAGCTACATTTCCATAAGCTTAACACAACCAATGAGCTGAATGTGATGGACAAGGCGAAGAGTTGGACAATGTTATCACTTACAATTAAGTCCCTGTTGTCTCAGAGCGCTCATGTTTTACAGAAGCTGTCCTCAACACTTTAAATTTGGGTCATTTTCCAGTAGTTTCTCTGCTGAGTTAATGAAAATTAATGAGCTGTAATCCATTTGATGTGACAGGCTGCTCATAGACTTCCCCTCACAGAAGGACAAATCATTCTTCCTAAACTACAGTGAAAAGGAAAACCACTATCCATAATGTGATTGAAGCTTTTTTTTTTCTTCTTCATGCTTAGTTATCCGGCCTCATGATGCTCAACAACATTTGGATGGAAACTTGGCTGCAGAAATGTCTCTCCTGATCTTGGACCAGGATATGCAAGGTCATAGATGCTGACAGATTAAGGAGTTTGAAGTACAGAAGCTGCTGTGACGACGAAGCTACTGTAGCATGACAGATCTCATGAATTAAACAGAGCTCTTATTAACTGTACTGAACCGCATGGAGTTGTATTTATGCAGACCTGCTCAGTGCCATCTCTCATTTTATTTTGTAAATGAGTGTTTGACCACACATCATGGGAGGAGAGAAAGCCTCACTCAGCAGGACAGCATGAATAAGCATCCTCGTTTGTAAGATGGAGTTGGAGTTTGAGGAGGGGGAGGGGGGGGTGGTTTCTTCATAAGGAGTGCAGTGCAGACAAAAACGCAGGCCAGATGCATCTCAATTCCAATTAGGTAATGGGAGCTGACAGCAGGCATGAGCGAGCCACACGTGGACTCAGAGCTGCAGCGGAGTGCTGGATGGATCTTTACAAGCTGCATTTCAAAAGGATCCTTGACCCCCAGGTCCCTGGGAGATGAAGGCAGGTGGTTACAAGATAATCAAAAATTAATATGGGGGGGGGGAAACCAGGAGGAATGAGATATATCACGTGAATAAAAAACACAAATATCAAGTCTCATCAAACGTGGTGACACGTTACAGTTTTCAAAGATACAGACAACAGATTGAAAGAGAGATCTTTGTCTGATTCTCGTCTAAAATATATCTAATAATGGACAAGATTGAACCCTAATACATGCTTAAACCGGATACAAAGCCTGAAAAAAACATAAATCATCCGTTAATTTAATTCAAAGATATTTTTTTCTCTCGTGCTGATATATCCATTCATGCTGTTGTGATTGGGCAAAATTTAAAGGCATGTGATAGAGTCCAACACAGGTATTATTCAACACATTAGGCTTAAAACAAATGATGTAATGTTGGCATCTCTTAAAAAAAAAAAAAAAAAAATCTATGTACATGCTTTCCTGACTGAAAACATGTTTTGGGACTTTTACAATCCTACATACATTTACATGCAGTTGAAAAAATATAGATTTATGTTGTTAGTCCCATATCCCAACCTATAAATGCATGTAAACTTGGTAGTTTGGCTGCAGTGGTACAACGTCAATTTTCTCACAGTCAGACCAACACACCTAATGTGGTCAGGGATCAATTACCTCTTGCATGTGTACGCCTCAATCAGACCCAATCTGGACTAGGTGTTCTGCACAAGCTCCACAGTCCCCAAAGTAACAAACATTAACCATAAAGAAAACAAAGTCCAAAAGAAGAAACACCTAGGCCCCACAGGCGAAATAGCTCAAAACATATAGACGTATGAGCTGACAACATCAGTAATCAGACACAGGTGAGACTGATGGCACAGGTGAAGACAATCAGGGCAAACAACATGGAGGGAAACCAGACAAAAGGAGGAAGTAAGACAAGACGAGAAACACTTGGGACAAGAACTACAAAATAAAACAAGAAATACTAAAGTCACACAAAGAAACACAATAATGTTAACAGTTACAATACACACAGGACATAGAGAAACACAAGGACAAGAAATTACAAAATAAAACAGGAAACACTAAACTCGGAAATATACACATGTCAAAAACTATACAGACAGGAAGGAAACAAAATAAAACAGGAAATGAAATCCAAACACTGCAACAAACAAAATACAAAACTGAACATCATCACAGACCATGGAGTATCTTGTGAATTCATGAGTAAAGAGTTCATAAATAACATTTTCTTTGTATCTCTCACTTTATGAAGTTGCCTGAAAATTCAGTGACTCTATTTTCCAGATCTTTCTCTGGTGTTCTCTAGGAAAAGTGACAGAAATCATACATGTAAAGCATCATTTTTAAGTATTTTCATGGACTAAATCTTCTTGTATTACCTCTGCAAATGTAAATCTTGTGGATATGTGACACATGCACATCTTTAGATCTTTCTGGCATGTCTCTTCTTTCAATGTAATGTAGCAGGAGAGCAGAGAAGGGGAGTAGAAGAGAGAGGAATCTAATCATGCAGGTGAAAATGTGTTTTATGAGAAAGAAGCCGCTGTGGAGGTGGAAGGTGCCAAATTTCCCCTTCAGGTGGATCTAAAGATGAATGTGTCTACAGCTCTGATTCATAAAGGTGTTAAAACCTGCTGTAAACAGGCTGTGATATGTTGATATGAAAATGTAGTGATATAGATCAAATGTTTTTCACCCTGCACAGACTGGTTACTACCCCCACTGTCTCACACACACACACACACACACACACACACACACACACACACACACACACACACACACACACACACACACACACACACACACACACACACACACACATATACTGTATATCCCTGAACTGACCGACTGAATGAACCTCACTAATCTGCTCATAATTTAAGTCATCCAGGCTGATTTTTGCACATCTGTCATGTCTGCTTCTTGTCCAATCTGTTAACATGCAGCTGGTTTAATTTTACATCTCCTCAGATCTTCAACACTGACTCTGTTTACTGTCAAATAAATAAATAAACACAACACATCCTATTCTAGTTTATCCTACACTGACAGACATATGTCTCCTCGGCTTCTCTTTTAAAATTTGAATGCAACAGGATGATTGGTTGAGAAGTTGTGGCAGAGTCGGGTTGGATTTTTACTTAAAGAGTAAATGCACCAAAATCAGCTGATCAGCAGAGCAGGCAGACGGAGGAAGTGGTAGAGAGTGAGCGGCTAAGTGGAATAAAGAAATTGAATAAATGTGTGAGAGAAAATAAAAAGTCTTCCTGCTTGAACTTATGCTATGCTCCATATGTGGAGAGCAACGACATGACCATAACAGTAAACTGCACACTAACAGAGTCCATTCACAATCAACCAGTGTCCCAACAACTCTCAAATTGAAAATATCCCCAAATCTCTCACGATCAAACGCCACTTTAAAGTAAACACGTTGGCGTGTAGGAAGAATTGGTGATCATACAGTTTTTGGGACTTTCTTTTTACTGAAAATTCACAAAGACAAACCTTAATATTACCATCTTTTTGTTTTGTTGCAATAGGTGTTAACTGGTATTATTTTTTCCCCAATAGAGGTCTTCTTATTCCCACCCTCCTGTGCTGTGATTGGCTTAAAGTTACCTCCCTTACAGTATGGCTATCCTGGTTTAAATACAAGAGCCTTTTTAAATGTCATGAATTGTGATTATAATGAACGTGTCATTCAGAAATATTATCAAATTTAACTAACACCTGGGGCGTTCCAATATTTGTATTTATAAAGTATATATATATTTTGACCTAAAGTGTATATATATATTTTGAAAAGTTCTGTATCATTTTCTTTAAAAAATATATTTATTTTATTTTGATTGAAAACAACAAACTCAGCTTCTGTTTCATGAAAAACCAAATTAAAGCAGATCTAGTAAAGACATTTAAAGATGAATTATCTCTGAACCTTTCAGATGATAAAGCCCGGCACCCCGAGGGTTTAGCAGAGAGGAAATGGATTAATTAAATACTTTTGATTCATCACCCCAAGGTCAAAATTAATCACATTAATACAAAGACATCTCATTTGTAATTTGTACTGGAGTAGTCCAAAGGATGTGGGTGTGATGCCAAGTGTTAATAACAATGTCATAAAGTCTTTAATTTCCTTTTATTCTACTTTTTACTCTTTAATTACAAAGGTCGTAATTCAAGGAAATAACATTATTTTGTGTGTTGCTCATTATTTTTATATATATTTAACTGTTTCTGAATAAGTATTCAAATGTGTGAAGTTGAATCTGGATTCATTTTAGTCTCTGTGACATCTCATCTTTCGCTGCTCTTGCAGTTTAAATAATTTAATAATAAATCAGCTGGAGGTCAGGGGTCAACGATAAACTATGTTGTGTATCATGAGTCCTGATTGTTTTTGTGTTTTTCCGCTGCATTTACTCTTTTCAGGCATCAACATACAGCCTGATGGGGTCATGTGCTGGATTTCTGCATTATGATGATAATATGAGGCTTTGGCTGACTCAACCCCCCCCCCCCCCCCCCCCTCCTCATGCAGGCACGACTCAATCGGATGAGCCGTGCTCCACCTGTCCCGCCTCTCCAGTTGCCAAGACTGACCGACTGTCTCTGCGGCCTGCCCACAGCTGTCACAAATCCCAGCATGCCTGGCGTGCATAGCACACAGCACCATGAGGCCAGCACATTGCCTGCTCGGTTGGGTCGCAGGGAGCGTGTTTCAGCGACAGAGTGCTCCCCTGGCACCTTTGACGTGGCTGCAGGCCAGAGTCAGGACTGGTTTTGGTCCCTGACTTTTGCCTGCTGACCTCACTTATGAGTCTGTAATGTGCCAACATCTGCACAAAGACATGAGTCAGCTTCAGACACACAGAGAGAGAGAGACGACTGGCCCTGTGCCGTCCCTCCAGATGCTCAGTATCACCTCAGTGTGCTCCTCTGATGTAGCTCTGCCCCCCCTCCATATAAACCCCCCTCTGTTTCCCTGATGAGGCGAGGCGCTCACTGAGCTGAGGCTAATTAACACGGACCGTGACTCGATTGCATCTGTCTTGTGCTGCTTTAAAAATAAAAATTCTATCAAGGTGAGCTCCCCTTCTCCTCCAAGATGATCTGAACAGATAAAACGTAGAGGTTTTTCTTCTCATCATGAGGCTGTGTAGCAGATAAATCAGGGGTGCTGATATATGAGCTGATAGCGATCTGCAAAACGTATCATGATGTCTGCCCATCTGTGGTTTCTGTCAGACATCATGATACGCTCACAGCGACTTTGAAACACAAATTTGTGACCTTCTGTAGTTCAAAGTTTCAAATTTCCACACTCACAGCCAGACAAACTCTAAGAGCCAGAGGGATTAGTGCTGTATTACTGTTTAATCAGCAGAGACAAGTAAATGAATCAAAGATAAAAATGTGTTTTACTTATGTGATATTGAATTATTGTTGAGCTTGAACTCTACAGGGAGATATGGGGTGATCAAAGATGTCTACACTGAGCGGCAGCAAGATCTATCCCCCCCCCCGTGGAGTCCAGAAACTGGAGGCAGAGGTGTAGCTGATGATGTCGTCTGAGGCTGATGGGATGAAAAGCTGATTGAACTGAAGATTGGGGGGTCGACCAAATCAGCTGTCAAGATGTCATCTGAGTCTGAAGGGGATGAAGAGGCTGACCAAACTGTGAAGACTGGGAGTTGCCCGGACGATGGCTGATGCTGTGATCTGAGGCTGATGATGAAACTGCGGAGGCTGGGTGGTGACGCAGAGGTGGATTGTTGCACATAACGATGGCAAGAATAACTGGAGGAAGAGAAAGCCATATTTTAGAAAGAGAGCAGCAATATGATGGGCTAACGATGAGGGAGTGGAGCAGTGCTATTGGATAGATGTGACCAGGTGATATGATGATTACAAGAAATGAGTAAGCATGCGTGGAGGAGTGTTGTGATATTGTATGAGAATGAACAATGAAACCAGTATGCAGAATATATAGTCTTCCTGAATGGTAAATGGTCTTGAGCTTTTACACCACATGTCACACCCATTACACACTGACACCCATTCACACACTGATGCCAGAGGCTGCTATGTAAAGTGACCATCAGAAGTTATTAATCCCATTCATACACATTCACATGCTGCTGACGACGCAGCGGGATCAATTTAGTGTTAAGTGTCTTGCCCAAGGACACGTCGGACATGTTGCTGCAGGAGCTGGGGATCGAACCCCTGACCTTCCACTTCAGAGATAACCAACTCTATCATCTGAGCCACAGCCGCCCCCATTAACTTTCACTAGAGCTATATTTAAATCATCATGTGCATGAAGACTCTGACACGGCCTTTTCAACATAAACTGCATACTTTCTGTGAGTCTTTTCTGTGGGACATACTCAGAGTGTCTGTGATGTGAAGAACATGCCCGCCCAGCCAAATATAGAGTATGCATTTGCATGTTAAAAGTAATGAGACAAGGCATTTATAATTTATCAGAGCTACCTGAGGTCATAACTGAAGAGTGTCCATGTAGCTCATCACAACACAATATATTTTTTTAAAGATGCAAATTCATACAAACCCCTGTGTGAAAAATAAATAAATAAATAAAAGAAAGTCAAGCAGCAGGAGTAATTAGCAGCCTAATTAAAAGCCACAGACATGTTTGAAATGCTCGGAGTTAAATCAGAGTCTGTTTCTGTCTGTGTGCATATGTTCATATTTCATTAAGTCAGGACTGTACACTCTGTACTGTACATCCCTCGTTCAGTCGAACCATGATGAAAGAACATATTTAATGAAGTTACACAGGATCACAGGACCAAAC